TTGCGTGCAGCGCGCTACGTAATCGGATAGATATATAAATCGTTATTACTTTACAATCATATAATATTTAAAGAGCTAAAACTTTCCAAAAAACTTTCTTAACTAATAAACAAAACTGTAGTATCGGTAAAAGTTGACAAATTGAAAATTCGTACTATAACTTTTGTGATTAAATGAATAAAACTACGAATTCAATAGGATTATTTTGAAAAATTCGGTATTTGGCTGTGAAATGTTTCGAAAACTTTTTATATGCTCTATATTCCGAGAAACATATTAAAGTTTATCCTGTTAAAATTTCAAAGAAAAATATTCTTTGGTTGAGATATGGCGAGTTGAACACAAAAATCTATTGAAATTTTTTCATTAAAAAAATTACTTTTTTTGTTTATAACTTGAAAACAAAAAAAGTACAAATTTTATTTAAAGACAAAAAAGATTTCCTATGAAATTTTCTACAAGAATTAGTTGTCAAAATTGAAGCGATGTTCAAAATTAGCCCTGTGGTCAATACTTATCCCGCGAAATCCACGCGTATCCCCTTATAGAATCCAGCCCCTCAATTATATTTTTGTAGTAAAGTCAAGATGAATTATTTTTAATCACAATAATTGTTAATATATTAATAAATTAAATTATAATTCTATTTAATTTACATAGGTGGAGTTAACGTTTGATATACACGCACTGAATGCAATTGCCTCTTTAGCAATGGAAAGAAAAACGGGAGCGCGGGGTCTGCGAGCGATAATGGAATCGCTCCTATTGGAACCTATGTTTGAAGTACCAGGGAGCGACATAGTGTCCGTTCACATTACAGAACAGTGCGTGAAAGGCGTTGAAAAACCACAATACGTGAAACGAGACGATAGCAATGATGATGATATTCAACAGGCGCAGCATGTACATAATTAACAAATAATTAAAGAATGCGACACTTTGGTATAACTGTTTCTTTATCGGTAGATGGACACTTTTTATAGACAAAAATTGAATTAGAACATTTGCGTAAAAAAATCGCTATTTTAATTATTTTATAAACGATATAATATATTCCTTTATATATATTATTTCATATAAAAAGAAAAATAATATGAGAACAACGCATACATAGTTTTCGAACTGTCCTGTATATATATTTAAAATATTTCTCAAATTGTAATTTTGTTTTCTTTTGCTATGATGAATTTCTATCGATTTTTTATATTATGTACAACATTAGATATATTGTTTGCTGCACTATTAATTACATATAATGTATTGTTTAATGTATCAAAGATAGAAATAGACATGTATTTCAGATACATGTTCCTTCTATGATATATATATAAATTTCTTCCCAACAAATTTCTTGAAAATTATTTAATCTATTTCAAATAATAACAATATTGACATATGAATGCCGATGTATTTAAAATGACTTTTTGATTTCATAATAAGAATAAAATTGTAAACTGTATAATGCATCTTGCAGTTTGCCTATTTGGAACATGCATTAGAAATGCCTCTTCCAAAAGAAAAAGTGTCGCATAAAAATAAAAATCGTCAGAATAATGAAAATATAGAGACCTAATTCTTGACAATGGAAAAAATGTAAATCAATTTTGTATCGTTTAATTCATTCGTATTGCAGGAAAAGTCAAAAAATCATACATAGCATTCCACATCCAATCAAGTTTTACATCCTGCATGCATTTATTGATGGTAACATCGAAAGTAAAACGGCGTTAATATGCGTACACATCTAATAATAAAACATCGTAAAGAGACAAATTAAAATATATATGCGCATTCAATTATATCATTATTAAATTCAATTTAGCAATCTAAATACTATAATATTTGATATGGTGAAACGAACTTTCATGATGAACATAAATTGATTAAACGGAATAGGTTGAAATATGAATACAAAAATTCCGATCAATTAAATACGAAATTGTAAAAAGCCATATAATAAAGAGAAATTTTAATGTCACTATTCATAATAAATTTTTGTATATTGTCACGCCAGGATTGTTTGTAAAGTGATTGCTATTGTTACGCGTTGTTTAAGAAAAATTAAGAAAAAGAAACACTTGTAGCATAATAATTTTAATAGACACGATGCTAGTATTCGGTCTTCCGATAATGGTAGGACGTCCATTACAAAAGAAGACGAAGAAAATGAGGAACAATATAAAATGATTATTTTTATGTCAAGATACAAGATAGATAGAAGTGTTATGTATAATATATTGTACATATAATATAGTAAATTAGTGAAAAGGAATTTGTGTATAATTTGCGAATTAAACTAGAATATATACATCCTCGCTAATTATTGCTAATTTACTTATTGATTAAAATTACGCAAAAGAAGAGAAAAAAAACAGGCTGTGCAAAATATAACACGGAGTGAAGAGATACTTGCATAGAACTTTTTCCTAATACTTTCACAGTGATCTGATGTCCTATAGATAGTAATTCTTGTATTTGTAATAAATCTATAATATGCAATTGTAGTAAATAATTAAATATTTTAATTTATTTACCTCACACTTTATAATTTATAACATATATACCGAGATTTAATGAAATCACAAATCCCTCATTTACATTTCATAAAATGTAGAAAGTATTTATATTGAAAATAATTACATCGAGAAAATGACTATAAATATCGTTAACAAATTTCATTTCACGTTCTAAAAATTATAAAGCGACACATTTATTTTAATTATTTATTAAAATTATTAAAAAGTTTACACTCGAAAATTTTGTTACAAATTAATAATTTTTTTTTACATAATTATTTAACAAAGGCAAATGATATATGTTATACTTGGTAGCTTTTTGGCGAAAATTTTTTTTATATAAATTGGAACACTTGATAAAAATACTACAAAGTTCGACGTTTTTTCTACAAGTTTTGAAATGTGAATTTTGAAATATTGCAAAATTTGTAAGATACTCATTATATACTTTTAGAAAAATACTAAAATTCAATAATTTAGAAAAGCTACAAGCCAAAATAATGTCGTTTAATTTTACATCAACACCAATCGGGTCATTATCAATGTTCAAAATATAACAAAATGGAAACAAAGGCTAATAAGAGTCAATTCTTGATAATAAAACATATATAATCCAACATAAATGTAAGTATATCAAAAACATACTTGTAAGAAAGCGACTTGTCCACCCGTAGTCTGTTCAAATATGCCGCGTTAGCAGCGGTGGCGTACGTGTCGAGTCCTAGGTAGTGACCCTCTAATTAGTGACCCTCTAATAAGAGTCTGGACACGTGAAGTCCGCCATTATTCGTCGAAATTGTGCGAGAGAGAAAAAATCATGCTATCTCATTCTAGTGGCGCTGTAAGTTGTAGTTGATTGTAGCTCTACAAACTTCATAGTTTCTGTTTCTGTTTCGTCTCGCCTCATGCATCGTATTTATTATTATTAATATTATTATATTATTATGATTAATATTATTATTTATATTATTTTTATTATGCGTTAAAGGAATATATGTTTACATTTTTGTTATATATGTTAAATATAATAATTACAAAAACATTTTTATTAAATATAAATACTGTATATCTAATATACATAAATAATATGAAATATGCATGAAATATTTTTTTCTACATAAATATACTACTTTATTTATTCCCTATTGGTGCTACCTAAGTATTTTTTGTTAAGAATTTTAAAGCATTAATTGTATTATTTGTATTTAAATTTAATTTTTATTAAAGTTTCTTAATCTTGTAATATTTTTATAAATTTTATATATTCTTAATATATTAATTTTTATATTTTCAATCTATTTATAATACTTACTTAATTGTTGTTTTTATTTTATGAAAGACATATTGCAACGTTTTTTTTACATAAAAGTTTTTATAGAAAATATTTAATAATGTTAATATAAGTTAAATAATAATAAAAATAAAAATTGTAATTGATTCTACTTTAATTTTTACGAATTTATTAATTTTTACAGTTTATAAATTTAAAGAAATTTGCGGGAATGGATGATAAATGTCGGACCAATCACAAACCGGGGAGAAGGTGGCCAGACTCTTATTAGAGGGTCACTAGAGAATATAAGGTGTTTCAACTCCCGAGATGCGCAGTGTCGACCAATCAGAAAGTTGCCTCAAATGCAAAAAACAATATGGCTTCATCCAAGATCCGCAACAGTGTCAGCTAATAACCTATTGACTGAAGGCTTCATTAATAAGTTTATTCCTGATTTACTGCTACAATGCCGTCGTGTTGCGTGAAAAATTGTAAAAGTAATGCTAAATAATGCTAATTGTAATGCTTAATATTTTCTATTTTAAAATCATTACGGTAAGTACGTTATTTTACATGTAGAATTCACTTATCTAAGTCTAGAGTAAAATTTTCCAAATGACATCGTAAATCCATTAAGGTTAGTTGAATTATTTTAGCTTTAATGGACATTTTACTTAATCATTGACTGTTTTTTCTTCATGATTAATGTTATTCATATCTATGACAAGTAACCGTGTCCAAACAGTTTGTTGTACAATTACGGTTTTTTATAGCAGTACGTATGTGTATTTAACTTCAATTTCAAATTACTACATGAACATATTTGCCCTGAAAGAAGCAAACTGTTATTATTATTATTCACTATTATGAAAACTTTATATATTTTTTAAGCTTTTATTCACATCATGTATAATACTTGATTTAAATTTCGCGCTGAATTTGGGGCTAAATTTTTATTGGCTGCTCAAATTTCGGCCCCGCCTACAATGCGCATTGAAACACCTTATATTCTTACATCATGGTACTCATGGTATAAGAATATATACCATGATGGTACTGTCGGGGCAGACCTCTGTCCATTAAGTATGATAGATTTTCTAACCTGAATAGTCGTCAACTTTAACATTAAATATCTTGGTTCGTAGGGCAGAGCGACACTTATTTCTGCAAAATTCTTTCGTTTTATGCAAAAACGCGTCGAATGGCCCTATTTTATCGAAATCGGAGGTGGAGGGGGTATTCTGTATAATTACCTTCATCAAAATCGAAGAATGGTACTGTATTCTGTGTAATAATTATTTTTTCTCAAAGAAAAGTATGGATGCCGTCAACCCTACTCCTCAAGATCTACAAACGAAATTGTACTTCTTGATGGAACAGTTGCAACATATGGCTGGAGAATTACCGCCAAAGTATCAGATGCGATTACCTTACGAATTGTTGTCCGGTTTAGCAAACTCATTGCTAAACGATACTATTTTTGAGATAGTGAAAGGTTTGATGGAAATACAGCACGTCACTGAGAAGCATCTCTTCCAACAGCGACTCCAGCTTTTGAATCAACAAAAGATTGAGTTCCAAGAAGTGTTATCAGCAATAATGACAGATGACAAGCTGACCTTGACAAAAGTCGCACTGTACAAGAAGCACAAGGAGGAATTGAAGCAAATGGACATGAAATTGGTATTGCAGTTAGATCAAAAAGTAGCTGACCAGCAAAGTATATTGGAGAAGGCTGGAGTGCCAGGATTCTATGTAACAAATAATCCGGTGGAAATTCAAGTACAAATGAGGCTGTGTGACTTCATAATCAGACTTAGCAAGATGGATATACCAACTTAACATAAATGTAAAATTCTATCATCTAATTCTATTTATATTTAATTATATTTATCACTTATGGATAACAATTATATAAAATGTAACTTTTTTTAATACATCTATCAATAAGCCTTAATCCTTATATTATCCTTTATTAATTTATTTTTTAATCTTAATATTAGAACTAGGATAAATATAATATTGTGAATATTTAATTGACTAAAAACTTTAATATAATCTTTCTTCTTCTTTCTCCTAAGTTAGGACTATGTCCTGTCTGTCACTTGTGCCTCTACTTGCTCTAGGATGATGATGTTCAACTTTGGTCAGCGATTCGAAGGTCTTGTGAATTTTGGATATTTGGCTTTTAAGTCATTGTTATCCTGACCTTGCTAATCTGTCCTCCATCCTTCCTATGACCTCCATCCAACTCTCCATTCTCTTCTCTTAGATCTCATTCATTTTACTATTGTCCTGTATGTTTGCATATCTCTCTAATTCTGCTGTTTCTTATCCTCTTCTGTATTCTATTGCCAGTTATTGCTTAAAATATCTTTATCTCAGCGCTATATGTAATATAATCTTTAATTTCTCTACATATTAATTTATTTTAAGGATATTAGTTAAATCTATAACACTTAAATTGTATTTAAAAATAATAAATTATTTAATTTATATGTTTTAATTTATTGCTTAATCCTTAACTTTTTATTATCTTAATTATCTTAAAGTAAAATTTACATTTCAATTTGTTTTCATTTATTTTATTTTTTATTATATTTACTATTTATTGATTACTGTTTAACATTAAAATTCTAAAGGTTAAGTTTTGAAATATAAATAAATTATCAAACTCTCAAAATTAAATAATTAATGATTCTAAATATTAATAAAATAGGCAAGTGAGTGAATTCGTAAGTTAACAATTTGCATGAAATATTAAACAATATTTTATACTAACATATTACATAAATTGATACGAACGTTTCGACTTAATTCAAGTCAATCTTTAGCATAAAATTCTCAAATAAGGTCAATAAATGTTGGGGAGACTTGGTTATGGGCAAACGTATTCCAATTACTAAATCCGAAGGCGTTGCATTATTGTCATATATTCAATAATAGTAAAATATTGTGAGGTAGAAAGATTGAATTAATTGTGTTAATATTAACAATATAATATAGTTAAAAATTGAAAATTACTTATTGTGACCAAATAATTCTCAATTACAAAATTAATGTAAGACGTAACAAAGTTATATCCGTTGTGCAAATTACTGAGACCAATTTTAAAATAATTTACATAAGAACAAAATTTGCGTATGATCGCTGTACATTATAACAATATAATGAAGTCGAAACAGCGACTAACAAAGCCTTGTGTGACAAAGCTTTGTGCGTTTTAGGTCATTATTAATAAGTAAGAACTGACAAAGAAACAGGCACTGAGAGATTTTGTATTGTTAAATCTCAACAATATAAAAATTAAATAACATAATATTGAAAATAAATTTAGATAAAAATGCAATTACATAAATTAAATAAAATCAATACTGTGAACTAATGAATTAAAAAACAATAAAAAATATAAAAAATTAAAAAATGTTTTTATATGATATCTATAACTCATCTCTTAAAATTATTTAAAATATTCGCATAGGCGTGATGTAAAAACTCTGTCTGATTTTTATTAAGGCCATTCTCTTAGATTGTAATGTGTAATATTTCAAAGATAAGTCTCCTTCCCGTAATTCGAATTCGTGATTGGAAAATAATCTCTGTCACAGTATAAGTAAGAACAGTAGTTTTATTCTGTGTCAGTACCTTTGATCTATATACCCTATAGTCAGCCAAACAAAATACAATTTTCAGTTGAAAATTGTGTGCGGCGCTTTGTTTGAATAATCAAAATCAATTAACGACTATTTCGAGTCTGTAGCAGTTTCGATGCTCACTGCCAATACTAAAAATAATAAATATATTAATACTACTATTCTAAAAATTTATAGTATACATCAGTATACATTATGTGCGGTGCCGGGCACGTGTGAACCCATGCATTGTTTTGATGGAAGAGCACTTTCTTCTTCGCCAAATGGAGACGTTTTTTCTTTAAAATGTTGTTGAAACGGCCCAATAAGGCTGCGTAATAATCGCCAATAATCGTTTGCTTCGACGGAAGATAATCGATATGAATTATACCGCGTGCATCCCAATGATGGCCAGTGGCCATCACCTTTCCGGCCGACTTCACGGTCTTCGCCTTCTTCGGAGCTGGTTCACCTGGTAAAGTCCATTGTTTTAATTGTTTCTTCGTTTCGGGTGTGAAGTAATGGATCCATGGACGCAGAAATTCATCTGGATTACGTTGAAACATCTCCAAACATTATTTTGAAATCGTCACACGATCGCGCTTATGGTCCACAGTGAGCAAACGCAACACCCATCTTGCCGATAGCTTTTTCATACCCAATTATTCGTGCAAAATTGAAATCACTGTGCCATGTGATATGCCTGTGGCCTCAACAAGCTTACGCACTTTCACTCGTCGATCAGTTAAAACAATATCGTGGATTTTATCGATGATTTCTGGCGTAGCAGCCTCAATTGGACGTCCCGAACGAGGTGCATCACATGTGGATGTACGACCACGTTTAAATTCATTCACCCAATTGTATACAGTCGCAAACGCTGGTGCAGATGTGCTATGAAGATTATCCAATGGCTTTGACCGAATTTCTTTTGGCGTTAAGCCTTTCATATGTAGATGTTTGATCACTGTACGAAACTCGTTTTTTTTCATTTTACAGAAAATACAAATGTTGTTCGCTTTAATCGTCTACAGAAATAAAACTTCTCAATGAAATCCGCTCAAAATTTGACAGTAATCAGCTGAAAGATGCTCGTTTTATTAATATTTAGAGTCATTAACTTTTAAAGATTGCAAAGGCAAAGGTTTATATTATTTTAATATTTTATTGTAATCAAGATTTTTGTTTATACAATACAGTTTCACATGTCATATAGAAAAGTACTATCACAAATTTACATGTTTAATGTTAATGGAAGTGTAATGGATTAGCATATATACATTTTTTCTTCAAAATAGACAAATATTTCATACTTATTATACACAGATTAGATATAAATTGTCAAAGAAAAAAATTAAACTTCTAACAAGAAAAGATACCAGCAATCCGAGAAAAATTAATGAGATATTTTATTTATATATACATATATTTGCAATTCCAATTGCATATTGCATTATAATAATGTTAAAAATATAACGAATATTCTTACAAAATAATATAATAGAATCTTTTAACATAACAACAGGTGAACAGTTTTCTTTTTAAATATAATTTTCTTTTTTTTCTCTTATATAATTATATGTACACACACTGTTCTTAAAGTAACTGCTCCAAAATAATTACTTTATCAGTTATTCAATTACATTTGTGTTACAAATAGAAAATTTCCAGTATTTATTAAATATGAATCGAATAATTAGGAATAAAATTATTTTAGATATTTACGAGATATGTAATAAAAAAAAAATCTTTTGAATAAAAAAGTAAATTATTTTTATTTAGATATCTTCGTTACATAATATATAAATTGCCTTTTCAATTATTAAAAATATATACAAGAAATAAAATGCGAAATGGGATGTTTTATCAGTAACATAGTAATTTAGTATATGATGTGTATATATACATATTAAATATTTAGTATATAGTATTTAGAATACTAGCTATATACAAAAGATTCAGAAAATCAATACTATGAGAAGTGATAGTATTGAACATGGTAAAAAAAAAAGTTCATACAAACATATCTACGTCTGATTCGGAATGATCCGTCTTGTATATTATTTTATCCAAATGTTGGTTGTGCGGATGAAGTATGATCAGTGAATGGCTTAGCAGATCGAAGAGAATCGGTTTCATTTGTTTCTGTGAAACATATACGATAAACATCGTTAAACGTCGAGACAAAATGCACTTCTAGGCCATCTGTGATATATTTAGGTAGATCGTTGAAATCTTTCTTGTTTTCTTCAGGTAAAATTATGCATTTAACATCGACTCGCTTCGCCTAAAAATAGTTTATTAATTTTGTACCTTGAAACTGTATATAGAACAAAGAGATTATTTCAATAAAGACAATTTGGATAAATCGTAATGACGAGATCACTTAACATTTGTAAGAATGGGCAGAAACTATACTTTCCTCACTTGATAGTTAGTAAAAGATAAAAACATAAAGTGAGCCTATATTCGGCAGAAAACACGGTTTAACAGCTGTCGAAACGAGTGAAAAATATGCTTTTACGTACAAAATTTCAAAATAAATGTAGTGTCTGCCCATTTTTAAGACTTTCATAAATACGAGATAAGTCATATTTTCACAATTAAGCATATAAATATGGAAATGGCAAGCAACACAAAATTTCATTGTCAAAACATAATTTTTCATACCTATTAGTTTAACCTTTTACCGTGGCAAGGTGCTATAACAACACATACACAAGCACGTCCATGTGTTCGCCTTCGGTCCGAAAATGAGCATACGGACATGGGCTTGTATTTGTGTGTGTAACTACTAGTTTTGTCAAGTTGCCGACTAATTCGGTGTCGCCACCATCAACGCGGAGTTCTTGGCTAAATATTTAGGAGTCTTAATATACAATATTATGTTTATACTTACTGCAATAACTTTCTCTTTGATACCACCAACAGGAAGAACCTTGCCCATAAGACTCAATTCGCCTGTCATTGCAACATCTTGCCTGATAGCTTGATTTTTAGCTAAGGATAACAATGCAGTAGCAATCGTCACTCCTGCGCTAGGGCCGTCTTTTGGGGTTGCACCTTCAGGCACATGTATATGCAAGTGAGAATCATACAGAAATGTATTCGAAGGATCCTCCTGTTTCAAATAATTCCTTGCTACAGTCATGGCGATATGTATAGACTCCTTCATTACATCACCCAGATGACCAGTGACTTCGAATGTACCCTCAGCTTTTTTACCTCCCGTTGGTTTTCTGATGGTACTTTCGATGAATAATGTGGACCCGCCCATGGCAGTCCACGCTAATCCCATCACAACTCCAGGAGGCGTTGTTTCGTACATCCTGTCATGCGTGAACACAGGCTTGCCCACAAAGTCTTGCAAGTTGTCCGTAGTAATATCGACTGTCTCGACTTCCTTCTTGACAACTTTAAATGCCACTTTCCTGTGCACTTTTTCTATATGTTTCTGTAAACTTCTCACTCCTGATTCTCGACAATAAGATTTGATTAATGCCGTGAGTGCATTGTCTTGTATGTTGATTTGTTCTTTGCTGAGACCAGATTCATTTCTAGCTTGTGGAACTAAGTATTGTTTCGCGATAGCAAGTTTTTCTTCAGCAACGTAACCGGACATGTCTATCATCTCCATACGATCTCTTAAAGGTTCCGGAATAGTGTCTGTTACATTTGCTGTGCAAATAAATAGTACTTTCGATAAATCTACTGAAACATCTAAATAGTGATCCAGGAAGTTTGCATTCTGTTCTGGATCGAGCATTTCAAGGAGAGCAGATGCCGGATCTCCTTGGTGTCCTCTACAATGTAATGTTATAAATGATGTAGAAATCATTTATCAAAAATATAAAAATGTGAAAAAATTTTAAATTATTCAAATAAATGTTTATAAATATTTTGGAGATATTTTCTATCTTAAGAAAATATCTATTTTTTTTTATGTTTATACAGATTACATACTTGCCAATCTTGTCGACTTCATCTATCAAAATCAATGGATTCTCAGTTTTGGTCTTTTTCAAGCATTGAATGACTTTGCCTGGCATGGCTCCCACATATGTTCTCCTATGTCCTTTAATCTCTGCCACGTCCGTCATTCCGCCGACACTAAACCTAAAATATTCTCTATTCAAAGCACGAGCAATTGACTTAGCTATCGAGGTCTTGCCAACTCCCGGAGGCCCATAGAAACATAATATTTTTCCTTGAGTACTGCCCTTCAATTGACTAACAGCAATAAATTCTATAATAATTAAAAGTATAATGTACAATAAAAAAAACATACTATACTTAAATAATACATAAATAGACATGTATATAAATGCATTTGTGTACCAAGTATTCTTTTCTTTATATCATCCATTCCATAGTGATCCTCATCCAAAATTTTCACGGCATCTTGAAGATTTAAGTTCTCTGTACTTGTCACACCCCATGGCATAGACGTAAGCCAATCGAGATAATTTCTTGTAACACTAAGAAACGCAAAATTCATGTAAAGTTTGTATAAATCATCAACAAATATATATAATATACATATTTATTATATTGAATACACACTTAAATTCACTACTATGACTTTCTAAAAAAGAAAGTTTATTCAATTCCTCTTCCAACACGTCCATAACTGGTTTAGGCACTGTCTTTTGTCTTATTCTTTCTCTATATTTTTCTTCTATCGCATCTTTATCATCCTTTTCCAACCCTAATTCTTTCTTAATAACTTTTAATTGTTCATGAAGAATGTATTTTCTATGTTGTTGTTTTACTTTCTCCTCAACCTCTTTACCAATTTTCTGTTGTAACTTACTTAATTCATATTCTTTTTTCAAAAGTGCAAGTGACAATCTCAATCTTTTTAGAATCTACGAATAAAGTATTATATATATATATTTTTTTTTATATTTTCTATATAAACAATATGGAAATTTTATACATATGCTATAATAACAACAATGTACTCACATCCATTTCTTCTAAAACTTGTTGCAATTCCTGTGCATCTGCTCCAGTTAAGGCAGCGCCTAAATCACTAAGATAAACAGGATTATCTACAACTCTTTGTCCCTGATGTAGCATTTGTTGTAAAGATTCGCGATACAAAGGATTCATGCTAATTATGTCTCGGATTGTTTTAATGAGTTCTTGCGTCAATGCCTGTTTAAAAAATATTTCTGATAATACAATTTTTAATATTGTAGTAACACTACATAATAAGATACATTTAAAATTAACTTATCTTTAAAATAACCAATTTTTACGAGGCAAAAACCTTTTTTATGAAAATAAAAAGAAAATATAGAAGAAATAAGACAAGATAAACTTCAGTAAACATTCTTTTCAATTTTGATTTTTAATACTATTATATCTTATAATGCGCCTGTATAAAATCTGAATATTTAATATTTATTTAATTTGCTTTCATCAATTAATTTAAACAAAATATAAAAATGGAACTATTTTCACATATAATATTACGAAATTTTTTAATATTATTTTGTATATTACCTTAATCTCCTCAGTTTGTTTAAACTTTTCATGTGTGACATTTACAACTTCCACCATTAATATAGGTTGACTATCAGATTGAGGAATTGATGAAACTAATGGTTTTTCCGTATTCTTCTCCAGTGCCAACGGTTTTATTTTCGTAGAGCTTGTTTCATTGACTTTTTCTATTTTCTCAGTTCGTTCTACAAGTCTATTCTCTTTTTTACGCAATGATCTCCGGTTAATCTTGTTACTGGTCATTGTGTCGTCTGCAGGAACGGTAATTGTGGTATTTAATAGTGGAAATGTCAGTTTCATCTCTGTATAAAGTAGGCAGGATAATATTTAAACAGAATAATCCAAGAACAGGGCCATGTCAAGTTAAACAAGAAAATTTTTGTCAATTGACAGAACATTAGATTTCTGTAAAATGTGACTTTATATTAACAACATGAAAATGCAATAATTAAATACATTTCGTACCGTGTTCTACTTTTGGATTGGCATCCTCAAAAATTTGATTAACAATCTTGATTCTTCTATGTGCCATAACCACTAATCTTAACCGATTTCCTAAGTCTTGCACTTCATGTACTTGAGCAAAAGTTCCAATCGGATAAATATCATCTAAACTTTGAACGACATCAGCTTCATTTCTGTAGAAATAAATGACATATTAGAATAGAAATTATTTATACGCTACATATACCATTCACATAATTATTAATTTTAGGGCATTATTTACGTCAGTATAAATTAACGCTAGAGAATAATTTGAAAGAACTTACTCTTCGGATTTCTTCAAGAAAACTCCTACATAAGGCTGATTTAGCTTTATCTTTCTACGTATTAAATCGATTAGAATTGGATTACTAATCTCAATTAATTTAATAAATCTAGGAAATACTGGATTTCTATTGATAGCAATGACTGGTACGTGAGGCCATACTTCAGGCACCACTACAGTTGCAGGCAGTGAAGCAGGATAATCTCCAGATTGTTCTCCATTGCCATCACTAAACAACATGACAAAAACAAAAACCTATACTTTATCAGAAATTAGATACAATATTTTAAACATATATTGGAATTAATACATTTATAAGATATTGTTTCTTAACATAATTGAAAAAAATTATTTTTTAACTTGACAGAAAATTATTGATTAATAAAAAAATATCAATAAAATTTTTAACATGTATATATATATATATATATGTTGATATATATATATATATATATATATACACACATATAAAATCAAATTTCATTTTATTCCATAAAATGTATAAAAAAAATATTTCTAAATTGTAACGTTTTGATGATCTTTATGTAGTTAAGTTAGTTTGATAATTGATAAAGTAATTTTTTTATAGCTAACTTCTTCATAGTAATTTTAAGTGATACCAATAAAAAAACGTAATAAATTATATGTAGAATGTTTTTTTATTTTATTATATGTAGAAAGATCAAGTAACGATCAAAAACATTATTCTTCATGTAAGTAAATTAACTGATAAAAAGTGTATTATATTACGACTAGTATTGTTCCCTTCTGTCCGCTTTCTTTTTAAATTTACTTGCAAAAGAGGAGCCAATATATAGGGTGAAGTATCTAAAACAAGTCACCTAAATAACTTGCTTGACGATATGAAAAAATGTTTTAGATGAAAGTGGAATAATTTCGAGGAGGACGTATTTTGGTCACAGTTCTTTGTCTAGATGAAGACATCCAAAAGATATAAAGATCACCTCCACTTTTTTAAATGGAGTTACGTGATTTTTTTTTTATATATAATGTGATTCTTTTAACAATTTTGTATGTAAAAGTATGAAGGTACAGATATCAAAAAACCTTATATATATACACACATATAAAATAAAATTTCATTTTATTCCATAAAATGTATAAAAAAAATATTTCTAAATTGTAACGTTTTGATGATCTTTATGTAGTTAAGTTAGTTTGATAATTGATAAAGTAATTTTTTTATAGCTAACTTCTTCATAGTAATTTTAAGTGATACCAATAAAAAAACGTAATAAATTATATGTAGAATGTTTTTTTATTTTATTATATGTAGAAAGATCAAGTAACGATCAAAAACATTATTCTTCATGTAAGTAAATTAACTGATAAAAAGTGTATTATATTACGACTAGTATTGTTCCCTTCTGTCCGCTTTCTTTTTAAATTTACTTGCAAAAGAGGAGCCAATATATAGGGTGAAGTATCTAAAACAAGTCACCTAAATAACTTGCTTGACGATATGAAAAAATGTTTTAGATGAAAGTGGAATAATTTCGAGGAGGACGTATTTTGGTCACAGTTCTTTGTCTAGATGAAGACATCCAAAAGATATAAAGATCACCTCCACTTTTTTAAATGGAGTTACGTGATTTTTTTTTTATATATAATGTGATTCTTTTAACAATTTTGTATGTAAAAGTATGAAGGTACAGATATCAAAAAACCAATAGTTTACTTGAATACGAGCAGCTTTTTCTCATATTATATATATATATATATATATATATATATATATATATGTGTACCTTTATACTTTTATGTACAAAATTATTAAAGGATTCATATTAAAAAATTCATATAATTCTATTTTAGAAAATGGAAGTGACCTTCATATCTTTTTAGTATTTCTATCTAGATAAAAAACGTGACCAAAACACGCCTCCCTCAAAAATCGAAACAGTTTCATCTAAAAACATTTTTTCGTATCATTAAAAACAAGTGAGTTATTTAGATGACCAGGGAGTCAATCACGTACTTTTTCCCCTAGGGCGGAAACGTGAAAAGTGAAAATTTTTTGCATGTATGTGTGTATATGTTCATACATACATTCATAAAAGTTTTCACTTTTCACGTTTCCGCCCTAGAGAAAAAGTTACGTGATTGACCCCCTGTTTTAAATGCCTCACTCTGGGGTACGTTCAGGAATTACTAGGTAACTATAGCCTAAAGTTACCTAGTAATTCCTGAACGCAACCCTATGTTTCTCAATTGTTTAATCTAAATTGATTGAAAATAAATGACAGACAGCCAAAGGTATCAGTATACACACTTTTTATATCTTGTATGACTAGGCACTATGATTTTTGATTGTATGCAACTATTTGCAGTGTTTGAGAAACGTTTAAAGGAAATATTGTAATTTGTATTTAAAAAATTACAATACTTTCTCCAAATTAATAAACTTTTAAGAGAACAGGGCTACGAGCCATAGATTCATTAAAATCTTTAATTTTATTAATTCTAATATATTGCGAAGAATATCACGTAATGTTGGCGTTTCGTCCCGGCTTCCAATACTGGACTCATCAGTAAGGTATTGTAATGGAAGCCTACCTTAGACGCCGGTGTAAGTTATTAAATCGAGATTCTATATAAAGAGATATACGCGTGTCTCAGCACTTGCGAGAATTTGCGAATATCAATAGACCTCTGATGGCGGGTCGACGTAGTAATATTCTTCGCAATATTAATCTAAAGTACTATATGTATTCCCCTCCCACCCCCCTCACATTGCGCGCCGAACAATCGTCGGTCTTAAAACGCAACTCATCTATCTGAAAAATCCCCCTAAATTGCGCGCCGAACTATCGTCGGTCTTGAAACGCAACTCATAATCATCTGAAATAACGTCCCCTTAATCAAATTGTAATACTAAACGCATCATTTCGCCCGCGTGATTTTAAATTTTTTAATTGTAATAAGGCTCAATGGATTTAAAACTGATAAGAGAACAGGGCTACGAGCCATAGATTCATTAAAATCTTTAATTTCATTAATTCTAATATATTGCGAAGAATATTTTAGGGCTAATATTTGCCCTGTTCTCTTATCAGTTTTAAATCCATTGAGCCTTATTACAATTAAAAAATTTAAAATTACGCGGGCAAAATGATGCGTTTAGTATTACAATTTGATTAAGGGGACGTTATTTCAGATGATTATGAGTTGCGTTTCAAGACCGACGATAGTTCGGCGCGCAATTTGGGGGGATTTTTCAGATAGATGAGTTGCGTTTTAAGACCGACGATTGTTCGGCGCGCAATGTGAGGGGGATGGGAGGGGAATACATATAGTACTTTAGATTAACTTCTCAGTTATATATTTAACTATGCACAAGATTTTCTTTTGTATTGATGTTTGTCCATAATTATGTACATTTCAACGTTAAGTGTTTCATCTGAAGAGGACCAGATTTGGTGGTCGAAACTAGTAATATAATTAACATCTGTTTTTTTAATCGTTACATTTATGTAAATTTTATAAGTTCATTTTAGAATATATGTATTAATTTGTTGTTAATTTTCTTTTCGTTTGACTCTTACAATGCCATTTCCACGTTTATAATGACTTTAGATTAATATTGCGAAGAATATTACTACGTCGACCCGCCATCAGAGGTCTATTGATATTCGCAAATTCTCGCAAGTGCTGAGTCACGCGTATATCTCTTTATATAGAATCTCGATTTAATAACTTACACCGGCGTCTAAGGTAGGCTTCCATTACAATACCTTACTGATGAGTCCAGTATTGGAAGCCGGGACGAAACGCCAACATTACGTGATATTCTTCGCAATATATTAGAATTAATAAAATTAAAGATTTTAATGAATCTATGGCTCGTAGCCCTGTTCTCTTATCAGTTTTAATAAACTTTGTTTTTTTTTTCAAAAAAATGTTGAATTTTATGTCTGGCTTATTGCACTTTGTTGATTTTACTTTAAATTTTAATTTTCTGGAAGCCATAGATCAATATTGTTTTAAAATAAATAATAAATAATATTAATATATAGGCAATGAGAGCATCAATATAGTGCAGTAATGGGAGTGCATTCACATACTGTATTGATGCTCTCATTGCCCAAATATTAATATTATTTATTATTTATTTTAAAATAATATTTATCTATGGCTTTCAGAAAATTAAAATTTAAAGTAAAATCAACAAAGTGCAATAAGTACAAAATATGCATTCATATCCCCGAACAATTTTACATTAAACATCTTAATATAAAATCTTAATAAAATATCTTAATAAAAATACACTCATTCGACGTGTTTTTATTCAAAATGAAAGAATCTGGCAAGAAATTGAATGCGGCGGTCGGCCTCGTGAACAGAGATATAGCGTTAAAGTTCAAAATTTTAGAGGTTAAGATATGTGTTATCCTGACTTGTTACAATGCTATATATACGTAAGATCGGTTCTTTTTCGAAGAATTCTGAACTAGTTTTGAAATAATGCAATAAGTTAGAGTGAAACAAACTACAGCTGTCTCTCAGTCTAACTTATTGCATTCCTAAAAATAAATATTCTCTAATTACACAAAAAAAATATATTATATAATATTCATGACTTTACAAACACAAATTCACTACTTTAAAAATTAATATAAATTTAATGCTTTAAAAACATGAAACACTGCTTTAAAAACACAATTCACTGTTATAAAAACAAAAATTCATTGTTTTATACACACAAATTTTTTGCATTAGCAATGTGTTTTTAAAGCAATGGATTTATGTTTTTAAAGTAGCGTTTTTATATTTTTAGTGATCTAAAAGAATTATAGTAATTCTACAATGTGCTCTTTATTTCCTGTTCCTTGCTGTTTGTCTCTTAGCTTTTTGATCAAGAAGGCAAGAGGCAAACAGCAAGAAACAAAAAGCACATTGTAAAATTAGCCTTATTTATTCTTGTCTTTTTGACCAAAAGCCAAGAGACAAACAGTAAGAAACAGGAAACAAAGAGCACATTGTAGAATTACCATAATTCTTTTAGATCACTAACCAATAGTGGCAAGCATTCACAGATCAGCTTTGCACAGGACTACGTTCAGGAATTGTGCCTAGATAACTGTAGGCTATAGTTTACATTACATATATATTATAGCAAAAATGCACCAGAGTTATCTGAGCATAATTCGTGAACGTATCCCAGTTGAGTTGAGTTTGCTGAATATGACCATTTAGTTGGGTTGACAGACATCTTAAATTCTAAATCTTGAACTTTAATGCTTAATATCTCGGTTCACAAGACCAATCGTCGCATTTTTTTGCCAGATTCTTTCATTTTGAGATGAATGAGTGTATTTTTATTAAAATTTTATGTGGGGGGGGGGGGAGTATTCTAAATAATTACCTTTGTTGAATTTCGAGAACCTTATTAAATAATTTTTGTTTTTTTATTCTAAAATAAATTCTTTAATTTATACCTCGGAGGGTCTCGATCGGAGTATCTTTTCGTCGTGAAAAATCTCACCGATGTCACTGCGGGGTGAATTCGGGTACTTCTAAGTAATCCTGATCTATAACCTGAGTGCTCTGTTCGTGTCAATCTGGCGTAAATCGGCAGTAATGTACGATAATCCGAAGCCGACCGGTTTCCGCGGAATAAGCGCGTGCTCGCATTGCACTGTCGCAGGATCCCCGGTAACTTAGCGCTCATTGCTGTCACGAGTTGCATGGTCCTCCGAAGCTATCGCGAATTCTCATAAACACTATTCCGTTTTGTTTGACTTTACTATTTCTGTAAGAAGAAAAGATAACGATTTGGAAGTTACCTAGGTTATAACATGACATACACAAATACGAAACTGTACTGAACTGTACTTTTGCTGTGCGTATTTCTTGATCCTAACCTAACTTAAAGGCCATGCTAGATTATGTTTTTCCATTGTGCGCAGGTCCTAATTTTCAATGCTGCCAATGGGTACATTCAGTGGATTCAACAGTTGAGTCCGCTGAACGCGTCCAATAGCTGACAATCTATTTTCGAATTTGAATCATTTGGAATCATTCGATATTTAACATACCGCTGGATCTTTATATAGGTTATGATATGATACTTTACGGACCTGCTTTTACCTGTCTTTATGGAAATTGTCAGAATCTATTTGAGAAAAAAAAGAATTTTTTATAAATTCTACATCTGCATCAATCACAGAGCGCTTAGTAATGTAAATTATTGAACTTTTATAACATTTTTATCAATTTTTTACTTTTTATATTCGAATAATGATGAAATTTTATGGTAGTAATAATATATTTGAATTGATTTGAATCTTTTTATATAAATTATTAATTAGAATAATATATATTTAAATTTTGTTTAAAGCTGTTATTAATTAAACAATATTATGCAATATAAAACTGAATTTTTTTAGGATTCATATCGTATAAGAAAAAAAGTATTTTATAATATGTTTTGATTTTTTAACTCTTATTTAAATGTTATTAATTACATATTTAATTATAAATTTATTTAAATCATTATAATATTTAAGTATATTTACATTAATTAAATATATCATGTAAATTATTACAATACATAAATAATTTAAATAATTAATAAAACGATTTTCATGTAATATAAAATAAAACTTATATAAAACTTATAAATTCGTAGGATTTAAAAAGGACTAGACAAAATTTCTTATTATTCTATGGAAGTTAAGAAAAAAATTTTATACAACTGAAAGATATTATTTCATTAATTGTTATTTATTTTTATAACTATGATCATTTTTGTTTTATATATCTATTTTCAATTTTTAGAAGAATAATTTTTCTTACAAGTGGCGGAAACTGCATTTTTTAAATTTCATACAGAAATATCTAGCTTTTTATTAAACCATGAATAAAAGTGATACACAAATAAATAAAAAATTCTTGATTCCGCAATTTTCAAGTAATAACAATCATTCATATAATAAAATACATCAACTTCTTACAACAAAAGCAAAAAGTAACGAGGAAAGGAATAATGAAAATAATATTATTGATTATAAAAATATTTCACTCACTATGACAGGTAAAATTATCATTATTATATATTGCAGTAGCTATTAAAAATTATACATGCACATTCTTATTGTATTATTAAGATTTTGCGAGATACCAATTTATTTTTGTACAGGAGAAATAAGTTCAGGTTGCATATATAGAAACAATTTAACGAAAATGCAGCCGAACATAGTTTTTGTAGAGGATACAGAAAACGATGATGAAGAGTTTATCTCGAATATGAAAAAGATCATTGATAAAGATTACAAAATGTAACATTAATTAATAATTAATTTGCATATGAATAATTACATATATATATATTTGTACACAATACACATAGATAATTACTATACGCACACACACACACTCACGCACATATACACTCTTTTATTTAAGTCGATATTTTATTATCACACAGGAAAAATAAAGAAAATTTCAGCATAAAAGATTTGCAAAGCAAATCGTATTTATCAAGAAAAAAAAAGTGTGTATTCAGCGACGCAGATCAAAATCTGATGAAACGATTTAAAAAATCTGTTGACGAAAGCGGAGCTTCGCGCGCAGTAATTTCACAAAAGTTGCAACAACCTGAGCACATTATTTCCGTTAACGATTACAATAATACTTCGATAACTTACACTCCACAAATCCCATGTGTTGAACATATTATGTACACACATATATATATATATATATATATATATATATATATATATATCTTACAATATCAATTCTTATTAGGCCGTTAAATTTCGAACCGAATGAGATAAAATGTCACAAAACGGCCTAAGCTGCGGATCACGAGTGCTTCTAAATAATTATGTGTGAATTTATATACTACGAAACGCATTAGTGTTGCTAAAAAATTTCAGCGCACAATCGAAGAATTACAATTCGTATCTAGTATATAAATTCACGCACAATTATTTAGAAGCACCCGTGATCCAATTTAGGCCGTTGTGGCATTGTCTCATTCGGTTTGATATATATATATATATATATACATATATATATATATCTTAATTTAGATATTTATAATCAATCGATAGTGTGACTGTGAGATAATTGCATGATATGAACTGCTTTTAGGAGCAACTCAAATGAACTGCAATTTAATCCCCACGTAGCTTTGAAAATGCAAAAAAGAAGTGACCAAGGGATCGAAAAAATATCAGAGAACGCAATAAAAACTGTTACTGAAGTTGAATTCGAGCAGCTAATTTATCACGAAATGCAGTATTTTACACTTACACCTCCCCTAAGAAACAACTTGTAATTCGTAAAATAACTCATTTACTTTACATAAAATAATTTTGTAGTGTGTTTACTGTAAAACATTTCGCCGTATTGGTAGAAAAGGAACACGTATTAAAATTAGCAATCTTTTTCAGTAGAGTATTTTTGAAATATTTTTGAATTTGGAATATTTTATTAGGATAGTGCAGAATATACGAATACATAATTTCACTCTTCCTTTCCATGTGTACGCGCGCGCGTGTGTGTGTACTTTTCATTATTATGTGTTTAAAAACACAGGTGCGCAATCCTGATATAATGTAAATAAAATTTCTCATATCTATCATCTAACAAGTAACACTACCCAAGTGTCATACGCCGATTTTTCTGCAATTGGGATATGTTGTAGTACACGAAAAACTAAGGGACACGTATTTTTTCTTATCGGCGGTAAAACGTTTTTAGGGGGTGAAAGCGCCCCCCCAAAATAGGGGGTGAAACAGAGAAATTGCGATATCTTTGCGACTAGGAAAGCTAATTGACTGATTTTCAATATAAAAGTATCGTTTCATAAAAGAGGAAAATCAGGATAGGTATGTTGGGGGGGG